AATTGTTCTTCTGTACGCGTGTGACGTTATCGAACACGCGTTTTTCTCTTGTCGCGAGTCAGGCGTTATATTTGCCCGACTCCTTTGTTATTGACTACGGGCTATCTACTGTTGATTTTTGTATCTGGCTTATTCTTCACCGTTTATTTAACGGTAGCATACTAATGTTGTTGTCATTGGGATTTTACGTACCCATTACGATGGGATACTTGGTCAAAGGATACCGGTAAACAAGGGGTTTTATAAATCAAAAATCTGAAGATGGCAGGCTGAATTGTGTTTATGTGGTGTCGCTGTGACTAATGAAAGCATTTCCATCAAAGAACATTTCAGGTTCTTTCCTTTCATTTTAAACTTTTAAGCACGAATGAGTAAGTGCCTACCAATGAATTCTAGAAAATTATCTGTAGTCCTTGATGATGAGGGAGGATTCGGACCAACGCAACACTTGCCCCCAGAAGCAAGAGTATTTTGGGAGATACGGGAATTCGGACTATTCTCTGCATGCTGTAGGATAAAAAAAGTATAGAAAATGGAGTGACAAATCACAAACAGCAAGATAGTAAAAGGTAAAAACATGCACTGTTACCACTGGTGAGATCAAAATCAAATGAGCAAGAGACAACAACTATACCAGGATAAGCACTTCTGAATGACTGATCTTGAGTAAATGAGGTTTATCAGTTTTACGTTTAGGTTACGAACTTTTTCTGAAGTTTCGCTCAGATTTCTGGAAAAGTTCATTATGGTTGCTTTTTTATGTAAAATGCATAAAGCGTTAAGATTATTCTTTAGCTTTTCCGTGTTAAAATAACGGAATTCATTTAAAATGAAGAATGGCCAGTAAATGCTGATTACTGAGTGTCAACTGTGTGTAAACACGCCGGTCTTTCCGAATTTAAACAAATGCAAACCATGAAATGGAATCGCCTTGCGGCAAAATAACTGACAGGCCAAAGACAGGATAACTTACAACATCGGCAGGCTTGTCAATGATAGATGGGGCCAGAGTCATTAACCAATGGACTTGTCTTCTGAGCAAAGCGCTCAGAAAGGATGCCTGCTTACATTTGAAAAGGAAGATTCCCGCTGAAACAATAGGTAAAGATCGCGAGTTACTAAGAAAGTAAAAAAAACTAAAACTGCCCAATAAGCATAACGGAAAATGGCATCAATGTTTAGTAGAAAAACAGTGGCTAACAAGGGCCAGGTATTTGAAATGTATATGTGAAACTAAGCCCACATTTCCACAGTCCAGAGGAGGATGAGGTGTCTTTTACACACACTGGATCGAAGAAAACTTATTGCCTATGACGCTTCACTAAAGCTACTATATTCACATAAGATTGGTATCAAATAATTTGTTTACAAGAAGACCCATACGGTCACAGTCAAAGTTGTGAAACCCCAACAGCACCGACTTGGTGAGGCAACGGGCAGAATAACCTTGCTATCAAGAGATCGTACGAGGCGCTACCATGCCGGTGGCTGAATTTGCTATGGTAAATGTGATAATAATTAGACAAATCCGGCACTCCTCCTACTGACAGGCAAGGAATGAACTGCCAATACAAGCGAACATCCGTGTCCCAGGAAGTAATTGAGAAGAAGAAGA